TTATTTTTTAAACTGGGAAAGTTACCATGTCTGAGTTATTTGAAAGGAAGTCTAAAGCAGCCACTGTACTTTTATTAGAAGGAACTGTCCAATTCCTGCACCTCGACTGATCCATTTGCTCTGGGAGTAAGAGCTGCTGGGACAGAGAGGAGAGTTTTCGATCTGTCACTGTCCTTGTTCTGCTCTGTGTGTGAGCAGAAGAGCTCACATTGTTTGCTGAGACTTTGGAAAAAAATTAGTTGGAGCTGGCAAACAGTGCTAGTTATCAGTTTGAATGTCTCAGCTACAGACAGCTGTGGAGTTTGTGACTTTCGTTACAATACTATTTTATTAACATTTAAGATGCTAGACTCTTTTAGAAACATTAAGTACTTGTCTGCTAAAACAGGAACGTTCAGAATATTAGATAATGGAATGTTACATAATTTGTAAATTAATTTGCCTGAAGAATAGTTCAGTGCTTCAATGTGTCTATAAAGCACTTGCCAGTGAGGAGGAGTGGTGGTGGTCTGTTCCAGAGATGACACTGTTTCCAGCTGTTTGAACATGTAAAGCAGTGCTTAGTGCGGTCTTGGCAAGGTCTCACTCAAAATTCATTGTACAAAAAAGACAATAATCATGGCTGTAATTTCTGTTAGGCTCTTACGAAATATAAATTGTCAAACTGTCTTTTGACAAGTACAGGTTTCGTTCCCTCTACCCCAAGTAATTTGGAGCCATCAACCCAGCAAATTAATCTTGTCTAGTTCTGTCTTCTGAAGAAATGCAGTAACAAATTAGATTGCTTCAACACACCAGCACTATTTTAAATTTATTCACCAGTTCATATTAGGAGGTGGATTTCATACTGTATTCACAGGAGTGGCTTTGGTTCATTAGGATTTGCACAGCAGCACAGGTATGCAAAGTTCCTTGCAGATGAGAAAAAGCATGTTGCTTACTTATATCTAACACAACTGAGCTTCACTGAATGCAGTAACTTTGCTTTTAAGCTCACGTTTAGGTCAGTGTGGAGACTCCAGTAAAATTACTTCTTTTTTTCTTTTTTTTTTGCCAGACTCCTGCTTTTGACACTTTATGGTTATGGCCTTGCTCAAGCCCATAACGTTATGGGTCTTTGGAAAATTTACAGGGATGGATTTCCATAAAAAGATAATTCATTTTAATTACCCCATTCTCCAAAGTTGGATACCTGTCTTAAAAGTAAAAACAAACAAACAAACACAACCAACCAAACAAAAAAAACCACACTAAAATGTTAGTATCTCTTCTGAGGTACTAAATGATTTTTAGGGTTCAGTTCTGGTCTGAAAACAACGTAGGGGTATGGTTTAAGTAGCAGGAATCGTTCATCTAGAAGGAAGTTAGTGATTTTTATTGTTTTAAGTACAAATGTATTTCAGCCCAAACAACAGCACTGCATTTGTAATTAATCAATGCCTAAACCCAAGAGTGTTGCCAGTCTGGAAACGGCAGCCTGGTGAGGCAGCACATGAGACCAGGAACAGAGCTCTTCCCTGTAGGACACTGGGAAACCTCCAGCAGCAGCTTAGTCCAGTTCTGGGGAGAGACAGGGAGCAGAAGGGCACTGATTCCTCAAAGACAAGTCAGTCCAAGGAGAAAGGTGGAGGGTTCAGAGACTCCATGTCCCCCTCAGTGCTGCTCCTGACAGCTCCTGTGGCTGCCTCCCAGCTCCCACGTCAGACAGGATTCAGAGGAGCATTTTCACAAAAACCCTGTTTCACCATCACCTGGGGGTAAGTTGGGACCTGCCTCAGCTCCAGATTCCTCTGTGGGTCCCCAGGGAGTGAAACAGCAGCGGTATCACAGGCTCACTGTGAAGCCTGAGGCTCGCACATGGAGAAAGCACCATCAGCCAAGTACATTTTAGTGCACAAATAGGTTTTTTTCTGGGCTAAGCTGTCATCTCTCTTAATGATTCCTTGCACAGAAGTTGTTTGTACTCTTAATTGCCTTTGCTACCTTTCTTTACCTTTTCTAACTCAGTGCATCCTTTTTGAAGCAAGTGGCCAGATGGTCAGAGCTTATGTTATTCTAAGGACATAATAGGGGTACATCAGAAAAATTAGTACCTGTGTTCTAGCAATGGGCAACAGCAAATCAGCTGTAATTGGTACAAAGGCTGCTGCTGTAGGCTCTCTTTGTCGTGGCAATGTGCTTTGTCATCACTCCTGTCTCCCAGGTTGAGGAAGGCTGAGTTTAGGACTGGCCAGAGCAAAGCGTGGGTTTAGCTCCCCATGTTGCCCATGTGGGAGGTACATCAGCAGATCCAGAGCAGCTTCTTCATGAGCTGGAGACCTGGAGGCTGTGAGATCTACAGGTCAGAAGCTTTGGAGGCTTTGTATCTTCTAAGCAGAAACTGTCCATCTCAATTCAAATCAGCCTAACTGCTGAGTTCAGTGAGTTTGCACAAACCAGCCCCACCTGACAGCTGGGTCAAAGGTATGAAGAAAAATTTATCTTCAGGCTTTTCTATTCCTGTGAGTGTTATATCAAAGTGCCTTTGTTAGTGACAAGTAAGTATCCTTCATTAAAAAAGAGCTTTGCATGACAATTATGTAGTAGTTTTTGTTTGCTTTCCTAATTGGAGAACATTTTGAAAGAGCAATAAAACACAATTTGTTCCCTCTTTCCAAAGCAAAACATCTCCTTTTGGAAGGAAGGAGGGAGTAAATTTACATTATAATGAGCAAATTGTTATGAGCCTGTAGATCAGGGTTGACATAAAGGGTGACGGAAATGAGATGTTCTCATTTTGTGCATTCCCCTCCCCTTTTGCTTGCATTTGCCTGTGGATCCTGCTGCTACTGAGCAAGGAAGTAGCTGTACTCGTGGTCAAGGGTAGCAACAAATCACAACTGAGGGAACAAAAATTCACATGAAAAAAGTCATTCTCCACCAGGGCTGCCTTGTGCATCTCAGTCCTTTCCCCAGTGAGTACTCACGTTGGAGGTAGGTGCAGGTTACTACTGCACCTTCTAGCCAGTTGTTTTTTACTGTCTCTGTTTTCCCATTGGTTTTGTCCATTCCCAGTACTGTCAGAATATTGGTGGGATGAGAGTGCTATTGTTTGGCTTCAGGCATATGACTTATCTAGAAAGAATTCAGAAAAATGCAGAGTTGGGGTCTGCTCCTGCCCTGCTGCCAACCCGGGGGGTGACTGAGAAGCCTAAGCTGTTGTCTTAGTTGTCACTCTGTCCTGCCCTTACTTTCTGGAAGGGAAATGCAGCTGCCCAAATCTTTTCTCCTTCCTGTCCCTCTCTTTTTGTGACAAGTGGGTTCGTAACTTGTTTGAGCAGCTGAGAGTGACATTAACCCCCTGCCCAGCTGTTGCGGTGTCAGGGCTCCAGGTGAAATGGCATTTGTTTGGCTCCTAGAGAAGTCATCCAGCGATTGCCTGGAGAGTCTGGCTGCAAGTGAAATCCATATGCAATGCTTCTGTCAGCAAAGACTTGCTGGAGGAGAGTTTATAATAAATATTCACATCTGCTGCTTTGGACACTCTAATCCATCCTACCGATCTTTGCTGTGTCAGGCTTTGTTCTAGCTGAAGAAGTCGGGTAGTTACAAAGGTTTGCAAATAGGGCATATTTATCATGGTTAGCTCTACTTCCTAGTTCCCGTTCTTGCACACATATCCAGGACCACACCAAGCATAACTTGTGGTTAAATAATCTCGGTGCATTTTTAAGGTGTTTTAGGCTACGTGTTTCCTTTGATAAATGGAGAAATGAAGCCATCAGATCTTCATGGGCAGAGCAGAGAACATCATTGTTATGACTTAGTTTGAATGGAGGGACAGGATATTCCCTGGATAAACTGTTCATCACACAGGCACACCCAAGGCCCTATGGTTCCCATATTGTTAAAACTGGGAGAGATTCCTCCATACTCACTTCTGTTGGGCAGTATGTTCCCATTGGCCACTTGGTGAATAACCTGAATGACTGAAAATAGCAAAATATCTCCTGTTTTTCATAATCTTCCCCAAAATGATGACCTTGGTGCCAGACTGACTTTGTCAGTGTCCATATTAATTATTCTTCTGCTGGTGCTGTCTGCTTTCAGAGAGCAAATCTTGATACATAAAAAGCTGTAATCATTTGGAGGGTATATTGAACTTGCTCCTAATAGAAAAAGGTGTTTGACCAAGATCATGGCTGGCAGTAGAGTGATCCTGTTGTTGGTAGGGCCACATCAGCTTTAAAATGAGTGTATTGATCTCCCTTTTTTTTTTTTTTTTTTTTTTTTGGTACGTGAAACTCATGATTATTATAGTTCATTTTTAAAGGAGAGAATCTTTATCTGGGGGCTAGGTAAGTAAGAGGTGCTTCAAACATATCACCAGCTGTTACCTCTGCTTTTATTTAAGGATGAAGACGATAAACTTATAAACAAATTCTGCTTCTTTTTAAGAGTGATGAAAACTGAGTTTGGTTCGTAAATAAACACATGGAAACTGGGAACTCCTTAGAACCTTTTTTAGGTTTTCTTTTATTTTTTTCCTATGGTTAGACCCAATTTGATACTAACAATGTAATTATCGTCGGATTTTTCCATAAGGATATAAGGGAGCAAGACCCTTAGTTCAGTTAGAGCCTGACCTGGAAATTCAGCTGAAAACTCGCATCTTCATGTCTAACAGTGGTACAAGAAAAGCAGCACTAAAAGCATGTCTGATGTTGATACCTCCAGGTATCAGAAGAGCATCTACTTCTCTGGTGCTCAGTCTGTGTGTCAGAATCTGGGCTTGAATAACTGTGTCCAAACATAAGTAAAACAGCCGTGCTCCTAATGAGGAGAACACTGGGGTCTCCAGATTCGCTTCATCGCTGCAAAATCCAATCTCACCGTTATTGATCCGTCCAACAGGAGTACACGTGGGGGGGGGGGTGTCTTTAAAACCACGACCTCAGAACTTGAGCGCCGCTCTCTTGCGCGGCCTTTGCCAACCTCGATGCCTTTGCTCTGCCTTGCAGGTGGCGTGGTGGCCCTGGGCAGCAGCGACGGCTCGGTGCGGGTGCTGCGGCGGGACGCGGGGCAGCTCTCGGCGCTGCGGGGCCCGGGCGGCGCCGTGCGCTGCCTGCGCTTCCACGGCCCGCGGCTCCTGCTGTCCGCGGGCGCCGACGGCAGGCTCTGCCTCTGGACCTGAGCGCCTCCCTCGCTCGGCGCTGCCGGAGAAGGCCGGGGCAGCACCGCGCTGCGGGCTCGCAGGCTCATCGTTAATGTCTGCGCCCAAACGGAGCGTTATTCGGCGTTTTATCCAAATAAACCCCCCCCAGTTTCTCCCTCTTTCTGTTGGCCCCGCGTTTTTCCCCAGCGCCAAGAGTCTCTCCTTCGGTGGTTTCTGGAGAAACAGCTTTACAATGACGCCTAATGACAGCGCAGCCGAATTGCAAGGAGATTGATTTTTAATGTAGCACAGCACGAGACACGGGAGCCGAGGCGCCCCTTCCCCAGCGCAGCCGCCTGTGGGAAGATGAGGCGAAGTTTCCATAATGCGGCCATTGGGGATGTTTTCCCGGACACCGCCGGGGCAGCGGCATGAGCCGGAGCTGGGGATCGCGGAGGGGCTGAGGGGAGCCCGCCTGAGGGGAGCCGGGCTGAGGGGAGTCCCAGCCGGCGGATCTGAGGGGAGTCAGTGGATCTGAGGGGAGCCGACGGGCCTGGGGGAACCCGCCTGAAGGGAGCCCCATCCGGCGGCGGTGAGGGGGGAGCCGGTGGATCTTGGGGGCTCCGGGCTAAGGGGAGCCCGGCTGAGGGGAGCCCGAGGCGGCGGATCTGAAGGGAGCCACTGGATCTGAAGGGGGAGCCGGCGGCTCTGAGGGGAGCCGAGAGCCGTCGCCCCAGCTGGTGGCGGGCGGGGCAGCGGCCGGGGCGGGGGCGCTCCGCCCCTGTATCATTTTGGGGTTTTTTTTGTTCCCTGCTCTTCCCTCTTTCTTCTCCCCCCTCCCCCCAAAAGAAAAAATTAATTGTAATAAGAGCGGGCAGGGAGCTGCGCGGCGCGGGCATGCCCGGCCCCCGGCCTGGGGAGTCCCCGGAGGGGAGCGGGGGCTGCCCGCCCGCCGGGCGCGGGGCTCCTCCGCCCGCCCTCCCCCGCCTGCCTCCCGCCTAACCCGCGCTCGCTCCCCCCCTTTCCCCGCCGTGGCAAAGCTGGAGCCGCAGGAGATCCGCCGGGCACAGGGAGGGGACAGAGATGGGTTGTTTTCTCACACCCCCCCCGCCCCGAGACCTGAGGAGATGCAGCCCAAGTTCGCCGCGATGACTCTGCTGCTGGCACCGGGGATTCTCCGCGGCATCCCAGCCTCCGGACCGCCTGAATCCTGCTCCCTCTGAATCCTCGGCGCCGGGTTAAAGCTTAATTCTCATGTTGTGGTTGCTGGGCTGCCGCGCTCCCCTGTCTTGCGATGGGAGGTGGAGGAAAAGGGATTGTCCGTGAGTCAACACCGAAAACGTGATTAGGAGGAACTGCTTTCACTAATCTGTTTCTAACCTTTCAGTCCTTGTTGGCCTGTGACCCCTCTCAGCTTTCAGATCGAGCCTGATTAGGTAAGTGTGAATTATTCACTTGGGGTGAGGGAAGGCAGAAGGAAATGTTTTACTCAGATTTACCCACGATTATGACCTCTCTAACTGAGGAGAAATGATGAGAAAGTTCAAGCTGTAAACTAATTCTGAGCTGAGCAGCATTTGTTTACTTGTTGAAATCTGTCCGTGCAAGACGTCTGCAGTCTGTCTGATTTCCAAGATCGCTTGTGAGTTGCTATGGGACGTCTCGGCTGCTGTAGCAAAATACAGTGCTCTTATTTATGATCTGTGGAGAACTTTTACATATATATATATATGTTTTGGAGAGCTTCTTCATCAAACTCGAACAAATTCTCTTGATTGTTTCACATTTCCTCAGATATGAACTACTTCATTTGCTTGATTTTTTTTTTCCCCCTTAAAATGCCCACAGATCTGCAATGTTGCAACCTACCTGTAGCATTTAGGTGGGGAGATTCTCTGCTCTGTAGATATGTAAAGCAGCCGTATCTGCAGGAATCACTTGATATCCAAACAGCATGTTACAATAGATATTGCTGATAGGAGTAACAACGGGGTGCATAGTCCTTGTGATGGGAACGCAGCTAGTACTTCAATTAAGAAGATATCTTTTTGAATTTGATAAAGCTTGTGTAATATCCGGTGTCTCCCTCTGTTGTGGCTTTGGAAAAACTGCTTTGTCAATAGGATCCCTTAGCTGTTTCTCTAGGATTAAAGCTTTCTTCTGCTGCTGCTTTTTTGCATCAATTAAGGGAGAATTAATTGCTGAACATCTGCAGTCCACCAAAAATCCCAGTGCATAGGGAATATCTCTCAGAGGGTTGGGAGGGAGTCCGTGTTTGCCTGTGTGTGCAGGTTAATGCATGTTTGTGGATACTGTGTGTGGCTGTGTGTGCATGCTCTGGGAACGGAGGAGGAGAAGGGATGACACGCACGTCCCAACAGTTCTTCTTTTGGTTTGTGCCAGGATCTACCTCCGTAGTTCCTCAATCCAGATAAAGCTAATATTTCATTTCATTTAAAAGTTTCCTGTAAGACTTTGCCCAGTTTTCTTAAGAGAGGTCAGAAACCAGTTTGCTGCCGGGGTTGCACTGCCCGTGGGCTGGTGTGGAGGCAGGTTAGTGGCAGGGATTTGGACAGTGCGTTGGTGGCAGTGATGTGGCACTGTAGGAAGCCAGAAGTGCTCCCAAGACACCGGCACGGAGCCTTCGCCTGGCGCCTGGCTCCCGGGGGTCAGTGCAAAGCTCCTCTCCCTCCCTGGGTCGATCCTTCGCTCGACCGCCTCAGCAGAGCTCGCCGAAGGTCGGGCCGTGCTGCATCGCTCCCAAAGTTTGAGAAGGGCTCGGCTTAATCACGCAAACACACTTCAGCTGCTCTATGCCTTATGAAGGCATTTAACGTCCTGTCTCCGCGTTTCTCTCTGGGAATTACTGAAATGCTGAATAATGGAGGAGGTGAACTGTGTTTTTGCTTCTGTTGGGATTATAGGTACCTGCTGCAGGCTGGGCTGTGTTGATAGCCCAGGTAGTCCCTCTTCAGAAATGCTGTATATAAAATTCTATACTCTCCCACCTCTCACAGCCCAAGTATAACCCAGCACCGTCTTTCTTATCGGACGCAGATCTGACAGCAGATCATGCTTAACTCCTTTTTCTGCTCAGGTTTCCCACCCAGTTTAATGAAGTGGGCTGTTCACCCTGTGTAGCACCAAGGGACAGTGGCCATGGCAGGAGGTTTAGACTGTGCTTAAACTTGGGTTCAAAACCCTCCAAGCTGCCACTCACCATGTGATTTCAGGCAGCTGATTTAATTTCTGGTGCATCTGGAAACTCAACTGGACAAATGAGGAGAGTAAAAATTAGATGATTCTGTGAGCCACCATTTCTTCAAAGATACTTTGTGGGCATATGCTTCCAGGCATGAGTGTCCAAGTTATGTATGTCACATGCTTTGTTCTCTGTAACAATAACTGAGAAGAGGCTTAATTCAAATGAAACAGTAATATTTATCTATGCAGTTTGAGAACTCTGATTTATTCTTAGGTGATTGTTGAACCTATGACCTTTATAAGCCAATATTCCTTGAACTTTGGGTTTGTTCTCACTTAAAAATACTTGTTTTCAGACCACAACACTGGTGTCCCTATGGAAGCCACTGTTTGTATCTGGCATTGAGATCCCATGGAGAAGCTGAGGAGGGGGATGGCTCTTCATATTCATGAAGCCTGGATACTTCTGTTTGTAATCCCTGGTTTGGTCACTCCAGCTGCCATCAATCATGAAGACTATCCTGCTGATGAAGGGGACCAGACCTCCAGTAATGACAATCTGATCTTTGATGACTACCGGGGGAAGGGCTGTGTGGATGACAGTGGCTTTGTGTACAAACTGGGAGAACGTTTTTTCCCGGGACATTCCAACTGTCCCTGTGTCTGTACTGAGGATGGACCTGTTTGTGATCAACCAGAATGCCCTAAAATCCACCCAAAGTGTACAAAAGTGGAACACAATGGATGCTGTCCGGAATGCAAAGAAGTGAAAAACTTTTGTGAATATCATGGGAAAAATTACAAAATCTTGGAGGAATTTAAGGTATGAAATCCTTTCTTCAGTATTTAATATTAGTATGCTTTAGGGATTGTATTTTTGCTGGGAACTCTCAAAGGCACTCAGTATTTGCTTACTGCTGTTGATGGATGCTGAAGTAATTTTTAGCTGTGGTGCAGGTCTGGCTCATGTAAAAGCTGCAAAAGCTCCCCCTTACCAGCATTCACTGAGGGCCAGTGGTCAGTCAAAAGCCCCCCTTGTAAATGCCAGCCCTCTGGATCTGCCTCCTTTGCTCATATCATGGATCATGTTGGACCACCAGTGGTGTGTAAACCAGTGCTGAGTGCTTTTTAAGAACTCCTTTACAATTTGGATAGCAAAAAATTGATGGTGCAGTACTGAGAGTTGTTACTCATAACTCTATGAGAATGCAAACAAGTAGATGGTAAACTATATTTAATATTTTTATTTGAACTGTGATAAGGCTGTCTAGAATGGAGAAGATAAATTCCTAAGCAGATGACCATCTCAAGTAATAAGAAGTATGGGGTTTCCTTGTAATGGTTGAGTTCCTGTTAGAAATGTTGTAAAGAAATCCTTCTAAAATATATCTTGAAAATAAGACCAGATTCTAAAAAACCATTACCGTTTTACACAACCTGCCTCTCTCATTCCTTGAGTTCGATCCCATGTTTTCAGTTCTGCTAAGGAGAATAGCATTTCACAATGAAGAACGGTGTCTGGAAAAGCTGTAGGTACACAAGTTTGTTCTCCTGGGTCACGTGGCTTTAAGAGTTGTACCTCCATAATTAATGACAGCCTATAGCTCTTCATGGCTGTGTGCCCAATCTCATTATGCACTTGGGCAGTTTATTTGCTTTCCTGCTATGAAAATAATTTCGTATTGGTCTGCACTTCACAAGTTCTCGGTAACATAGACGACAATTTCCTTTTTTCCAGAAGCTGTCGTTTTCAGTGAAGGTAGTAGTTAGTTCCTCTCTTCTCACACATGTGTTTTATGTTCATCTTTTTCTGTCCATCTGTAACTGCAGTCCCTCAGTCTTGGCAGGATAGTTTGATATCACAGGCACGGGGCAAAGGAAGGGTATGAGGAACATCTCCTTGAGGGCCATCCTGATCAACCTGTTCCCTGCTTTCCTTCACTGAGGAATGTGAAGTTGCTGATCTTGTGAACTGCTTAAATAAAGCAGTAAACTTGTGCAAAATCTTGTGAACTGCTCCTCTTGCCCTAGGAAGGCTTAGACCAGCTTCACTGTGCTCCAGTGGTCCCATCTTGACTGCTGTGTTGTCATCAGGTGGTGGGGTGTCCCACCTAGGTGGTCGGATTCTGATGTGAGAGTTACAAGGACTATTTTGGAGAGATTTTAGGAAGCAGAAAGTTACAAGGACTCTTTCTGAAGAGATTGCAATGGGAGAACAACGAGATGGATCTTGTCATTAAAGTATTTTTGCGTGTGAATTAAGTGCAAAAGCAATAATCACTTTTCCTGAAAGAAGTCATTGCACCCTGATAACAGATTAAACTCTACAGAAATACAGAATATAGGAAGAAAGGCTATTAGAGTTAGGAGCTATCTGATTTATTGCTTGTTGTGTTCAAGTACTGTGGGGTGCTGTGTGAAAAGCAAGGTGCCAGTATCCTCTGAGAAACACAGAGTTGATGGTGTCACAGCACTCTCACACGCAGTAACCTGTCCAGATGCTTCAGACTTAATTTAGCTGACAGTCAAGCTTGTGACCTGGACCTGTGTTTTGCTGAAAACTCAATACCTTGTGGAGTAGGGCAGAAAAACCAATGTTTTGGAAATCTATGTGTTTACCTAGAATAAACAGTGAATTTGTTTCCCTCTTAAGTAGTGTAGGAGAGTCAGGCAATGGAAGATCACTTCCAGGGGTGTTTGGGGGGGGGGGGAAAGGAGCACCTGTGAACTATGACTTTATAAATGTTATAGGAAAGGCAGAACTTCAGAAAACTGCTGCTGTGAAGTCTTGACTTTATGAGGCACCCAAGCACAGATGAAATTCAGAGCAGTTCACAGGTTTTGCAGGCTCTGAGCTCTGCTCTTTCCTCATCCTGTTGAATTTCTAAGGTCTGCAAACTTTGTCACGTCCGTTCCACACACACTGAAGTCAAAGAGGAGAGGCTTTCTCCAGTGACTGACTCAAACCCAGGCTGCTTTCAGTGGAAACAGAGGCACTGTTTTATGTGGTCTCAGAACCCTTTCACCCACTTGATTTACTTTTGCTCATATGTAGGTTCCAAATCGTCATCTATAGAAGGGCTTGTCAGTGCTTAGTTTCAGCTGAAATTAGCCTCTATTTAAAAATCTTCTGCAAGTGTGTGTCTGTGTGTGTGTGCCAGGACTGACTCATCTTGTAGAGATTTCAGCTGCCTGATCTTTCACAAATTAGGATTAATTTTTTTCTCTAGGAACTTTTTTTTTTTCTCAAGGGTATCAAAATCTGTGAGAAGTTCCCATTTGGAAGAATTTTTCTGTGTTGTTGCTAGATTTTTGCTTAGGTTTGGGGTGATAAATCCAAAAGTAATTTAATCTTTTTTCTTACCACTGGCAGTAACTCTGATGCTCTCAGGGTAAAGGAGTTGTTACAAAGGCCCATTTCTTGAATATTTGGCTTTCTTCTAGTGAACAGATCTTGCACATCTGATTTTTTGAGTCACAGCAGTCATAAGCACAAAATACAAACATGACAACAAGCCATCTAGCTTAGACAGCTGTCCAAATGTTTATGTGTGTGCCCCTCAGTCAGTAACACGTACAACTGAAATGCTAAACCGAAGTTCAACTGTAAATCTCAACCCATTAGGAGTTTTTCTTGTATCCTTTTGTAAAACCTTGTGTCCTTGGCAGATGGTTTAGTGATGCCATGTAGCATCTTCACAGCTTTGTTGTGGGTCCTGGGAGATCTTGGTGGGTTTGGGGCCCAGGGTCAAGGATTTTGATACCTGTGGAGCAGGAGAGAGTGTAGGTATGGCGGGTTTTACTGGGATCCATCTCTCTCTTTCCCATCTTGTTTTCCACTTCTCTGTCAGCCTCATGTCTGCTCTCTCGGGTCTCCTCTGGCCCCTCTCAGAGGGAGCACAGGCAGTGTGGTGGCTGCAGGGAAGGTGTGAAGGATGCTGCAAGTCTCAGGCAACCTCTGTTTTCTCAGAGAGATCTATCAGGGACTCCTGGGGTCACTTGGCAGCTTGTTTTTATTCCCACACACCATCCTTGTTTTAATTTCGGTCCTGGAGGTCAAGGTCTGAGTCCCAAGTGCTCTGTGCTCGCCTGCAGGAGCAGAGATCTTTCAGGGAGGTTGTTGACACTCCCCTTTCTTCCCAGACAGAGAAAACAAGCAAATAACAACTCAGAGAGTGGTCTAGGTTATTGTAAGTCCACATGGTTGCATTTCAAATGAATGTTCCCAGACAGCAGCTGATGTAAACTTCAGGAGACAGTGTTCTGCCAGCGTGATGGATGTTCATTGGCAGCTGATGGAGCAATCGTGCAAATGTCACTGAGACAACAGTTTCCCGAAGTGCTGATTAGTTTTGTCTCTCTTGCATAACTTACTGAGAGAAAAGCACACACCTGCCCAACTGGAGAAATGGGATTATGACGTGATTAAGGTGTATTCATGACCACAGTCAGGAGCTGTTGGAAGAGGATTGGGTTGTCAGTTTGGGAAGTCCATAATCAGTTCTGAACTTCCTAGGTCTCTCACCACCCAAGAGGCATATCCAGAATAACCTTCTGTGGACCTCTATGGATATGTAGCAAAATACCAGTGCTGGGAAATGAACGGTCAGTTCACAAGAGATTGTCAAGCTGACATCTTGAAACATTCTCTTCATTTTAGACTGGAAAACAGGAACTGCTCCCTGTCCCTGCAGGAGGGTGAGTCCCAGGGACCTGGGTTTGGTAGCATGGTGCCATCTTCCAAGGCAGTGGCAGGAATGTCCTAAGCACAGACATTAAAATACTTGGGTTTGCCTGGCAGGACATTGGGTGAATTATCCTTTGGGTGGGGACACAAGAGGTTCTGGTGTCACAACTTGGCCTTCCTGATAATATTCAGGTCAGAGGAGCAGCTTCAACCTGCAGTTGTGAGCTGGCGCTTGGAAAACACTCTGAACATCAAGGACAGTTTTTGGATGCTCTTCAGTGGCTGCCCTGCTTTCTGCCAAGAGCTGCAATTTCTTCCAGCCACTGGCTCTGCCAAGGCTTAACCTCTGCTGCCTGTCCTTCCCAATGACTTCTCTACATCCTTGTTCTCTTCCCTTCCACTTTCACTGCTCCCAAACCTATCCTCAATCAAAAAGTGCCTAGGTGGTACCCAGATGTTTGTCCCTTGCATCAAGCACAAGTGTGGAAGGATGGGAGAATATCCCTTGTCCATGGGCAGGCCTTTACACTGCAGGAAAAAAAAAAACCACAAAAAAAAAACCAGGAAAGGGGCAATTTTTGTTTCTAAGGCAAAATCTTCACTGACCTGAAAAGAGCCAGGATTCAGTGCTGGAGTTGTACTTTATTTTTCTTTCCCCTGTTTCCTGCCAGTATATCTTAAGTTCATTGCTTTGTTTTGTCCACAAATCACCTGTAATCCTTCAGTGAGGGTTTCTGTATCTTGCTGACTTTATGGCACAGTAGGGATCACAGCTCTAGCAGGGATCTTCAGGGTGTAATCAGAATCCCAAATAAATGAGGGACTGTGTAAGCATAGCATTATCATATACTAATTCTCAGCTCATTATGGAAACCTTTACTTCAGAATAGTGGCACCTCCTTCTCCTTTGTTACTGCTCTTTAAAAATGTTTTATTAATGCAATTATCTGAATATAACTTAGCAAAGTAAGGCCTCTCCTCAAAAGGCACATGCAAGCGTGCAGCAGCTGTCCCAGCACCTCAGAGCCCTGAAATGCAGCGTGTCCATCCTGACACTGGAGAAGGGGAGGCCGTGAAACCAAACAGTGCTTCCCCATCCCCAGAACCATGCCAGAAATAGAAATTAAGTGGTGCCA